AGGCCCTGCTTCTGCTGCAGCTGCAGTGAGTCAGTGAGTGAGTGTGTGAGTGAGTGAGTGACTGAGTGAGTGACTGAGTGAGTGAGTGAGTGACTGACTGACTGAGTGAGTGAGTGACTGACTGAGTGAGTGAGTGACTGACTGACTGACTGAGTGAGTGAGTGAGTGACTGAGTGAGTGACTGAGTGAGTGGCTGAGTGAGTGAGTCAGTGTCTGTGCGTACTTGGCTAGACGCATCAGGACAGCCTTAGCCAGGCCCTGCTTCTGCTGCAGCTGCAGTGAGTGAGTCAGTGAGTGAGTCAGTGAGTGTGTCAGTGACTGACTGACTGAGTGAGTGAGTCACTGAGTGAGTGAGTGACTGAGTGAGTGACTGACTGAGTGAGTGAGTGAGTGACTGACTGAGTGAGTCAGTGTCTGTGCGTACTTGGCTAGACGCATCAGCACAGCCTTAGCCAGGCCCTGCTTCTGCTGCAGCTGCAGGCCGTAGGCGACTCGCCACAGCGGCGTGACCGCATCAGCCAGTCGCTCCCACGTGGGCGCTGATGATGATGGTGCTGATGATGATGATGGTGGCGCTGATGATGATGATGGTGGTGGTGGCGATGATGATGATGGTGGTGGTGCTGATGATGGTAGTGCTGATGATGGTGGTGGTGTTGATGATGATGCTGCTGCTGCTGATGATGATGCTGCTGCTGCTGATGATGCTGCTGCTGCTGCTGATGATGATAATGATGGTGGTGTTGATGATGATGCTACCGATGATGGTGCTGCTGATGATGATGATACCAAAGCTGCTACTGCTGATGATGATGATACTGATGGTGCCGGAGATGATGACGCTGCTGCTGATGATGATGGTGCTGCTGCTGATGATGATGGTGCTGCTGCTGATGATGATGCTGCTGCTGCTGATGATGATGCTGCTGACGATGATGATACCGAAGCCGATGGCTGGAATCGTTTCTTGCACGGTGGAGGATCCAGCGAGGAGGTGGAGGAGGTGATGGTGGTGATGGTGGAGGAGGTGGTGATGGTGGAGGATGGGGAGGTGATGGTGGTGATGGTGGAGGTGCTTCGCTTGAGCGCCAATGGGTCCACTTTAGGCTGCGCCACCTGATGGAGTCAGTCACCACCATCATCACCAACATCATAATCACCACCACGATCATCATCACCATCATCATCACCAACATCAACACCAACATCATCACAAACATCATCACCAACATCAACATCATCACCATCATCACCATCATCACCATCATCATCAACATCATCAACACCATCACCACCATCACCACCATCATCACCACCACCACCACCATCATCACCACCATCATCACCATCATCACCACCATCATCATCATCATCACCACCATCATCATCATCACCACCACCACCATTACCACCATCATCACCACCATCATCATCACCACCATCACCACCATCATCATCACCACCATCATCACCACCACCATTACCACCACCATCATCACCACCATCACCACGATCATCATCACCACCATCACCACCATCACCACCATCATCATCACCAACATCATCACCACCAACATCACCATCATCATCAACATCTCTATGTGGTGAGTCTGTGTGGCGAGTCTGTGGGTCTCTGTGTGGTGAGTCTGTGAGTCTGTGTGGTGAGTCTGTGTGGTGAATCTGTGTGTCTCTGCGTGGTGAGTCTGTGTGGTGAGTCTGCGTGATGAGTGTTTGGTGAGTCTGCGTGGTGAGTGCGTGGTGAGTCTGTGAGTCTCTGTGTGGTGAGTCTGCATGGTGAGTCTGCGTGGTGAGTCTGCGTGGTGAGTCTGCGTGGTCAGTCTGCGTGGTCAGTCTGTGTGGTGAGTCTGCGTGGTGAGTCTGCGTGGTGAGTCTGTGTGGTGAGTCTGTGTGGTGAGTCTGTGTGGTGAGTCTGTGTGGTGAGTCTGTGTGGTGAGTCTGTGTGGTGAGTCTGTGTGGTGAGTCTGTGTGGTGAGTCTGTGTGGTGAGTCTGTGTGGTGAGTCTGCGTGGTGAGTCTGCGTGGTCAGTCTGCGTGGTCAGTCTGTGTGGTGAGTCTGCGTGGTGAGTGTGTGGTGAGTCTGTGGTGAGTCTGTGTGGTGAGTCTGTGTGGTGTGTCTCTGCGTGGTGAGTCTGTGGTGAGTCTGTGGGTCTCTGTGTGGTGAGTCTGCATGGTGAGTGTTTGGTGAGTCTGTGGGTCTCTGTGTGGTGAGTCTGTGAGTCTGCGTGGTGAGTCTGTGTGGTGGGTCTCTGTGTGGTGAGTCTCTGTGTGGTGAGTCTGCATGGTGAGTGTTTGGTGAGTCAGTGGGTCTCTGTGTGATGAGTCTGTGAGTCTGTTTGGTGAGTCTGTGAGTCTCTGTGTGGTGAGTCTGTGTGGTGGGTCTCTGTGTGGTGAGTCTCTGTGTGGTGAGTCTCTGTGTGGTGAGTCTGCGTGGTGAGTGCGTGGTGAGTCTGTGTGGTGAGTCTGTGAGTCTCTGTGTGGTGAGTGTTTGGTGAGTGTTTGCCGAGTCTGTGAGTCTCCATGGTGAGTGTTTGGTGAGTCTGTGTGGTGAGTCTCTGCGTGGTGAGTGTGTGGTGTGTGGTGAGTCTCTGCGTGCCTTTGCTGCGAGTGTCCGGCCCTTCCAGGTGAGGGCGTTGAGGGCTCCGATGGCGCGGTCCCTCTCCCCTCCGCTGGCGAACGTCACAAACGCGTGGGTAGCCCGGCCCAGAGCCTTCACCTTGTGCGCACGCACGCCATGACGCGCCAGCAGCTTCTGTGGGTGGAGGGTGGGTGGGTGAGTGGGTGGGTGGGTGGGTGGATGGGTGAGTGGGTGGGTGGGTTAGTGGGTGGGTGGGTCAGTGGGTGGGTGGGTGAGTGGGTGGGTGAGTGGGTGGGTGAGTGAGTGAGTGGGTGAGTGGGTCAGTGGGTGGGTGGGTAGCCCTGCCCAGAGCCTTCACCTTGTGCGCACGCACGCCGTGATGCGCCACTCACTCACCCACTCACCCACCCACCCACGCACCCACCCCCCCACCCACGCACCCACCCCCCCACCACCACCCACCCCACCCACCCACCCACGCACCCACCCACCCACCCACTCACCCACCCCACCCACCCACTCACCCACTCACCCACCCACCCCACCCACCCACTCACCCACCCACCCCACCCACCCACCCCACCCACCCACTCACCCACTCACCCACCCACCCCACCCACCCACTCACCCACCCACCCACCCACTCACCCACTCACCCACTCACCCACCCATCCACTCACCCACGCACCCACCCACTCACCCACGCACCCACCCACCCACCCACTCACCCACCCACTCACCCACCCACGCACCCACCCACTCACCCACTCACCCACCCACCCACTCACCCACCCACTCACCCACTCACCCACTCACCCACTCACCCACCCCCACCCACCCCACCCACCCACTCACCCACTCACCCACGCACCCCCCCACCCACCCCACCCACCCACCCACCCACTCACTCACCCACCCACCCACTCACCCACTCACCCACCCACTCACCCACCCACCCACTCACCCACCCACCCCACCCACTCACCCACCCACTCACCCACTCACCCACTCACCCACCCACCCACTCACCCACCCACTCACCCACTCACCCACCCACTCACCCACGCACCCACCCCCACCCACCCACTCACCCACTCACCCACTCACCCACTCACCCACCCACTCACCCACTCACCCACTCACCCACCCACCCACTCACCCACTCACCCACTCACCCACGCACCCACCCACCCACTCACCCACTCACCCACCCACTCACCCACCCACTCACCCACCCACCCACCCCCACCCACCCACTCACCCACTCACCCACTCACCCACCCACTCACCCACCCACCCACCCACCCACCCACTCACCCACCCACCCACCCACCCACTCACCCACTCACCCACTCACCCACCCACCCACTCACCCACCCACTCACCCCCACCCACCCCACTCACCCACTCACCCACTCACCCACCCACCCACCCACCCACCCACTCACCCACCCACCCACCCACCCACCCACCCACCCACCCACTCACCCACCCACCCACCCACCCACCCACCCCACCCACACCTTGATGTCCAGGGCGCTGCTGTAGCGAGGAATGTTCTGCAACTCCATCTTGTGGATCTCCGAGGTGAAGAATTGTGGCATGATGTAGGGATACAGACCCCCACCACCACCCTCACTCATTCCCACGTCATTCCCTCCCTCCTCCTGATTCATTCCCTCCCCATTCGCTCCCTCCTCACGTTTCATTCCCTCCCCATTGCCCCCCTCGCTCTCCTCCCGATCCGCGCGGAGATCCGAGGCTCCGGGTTTTCCTCCGGCCCCCTTCCCTGAGTCAGTCTCCCGATCCGTGCCGGAATCCGGATCCGGCTCCGCTGCCGGGTTTTGCTCCGCGCCACCGGGATCCCGGGGCGGACCGGGAAGCGACATCTGCGGAGACACCCACAGACTCACATACATACAGACTCACTCACTCACACACACAGACACACACAGACTCACTCACTCACACACACAGACACACACAGACTCACTCAGTCACACACACAGACACACACAGACTCACTCACTCACACACACATACAAAGACTCACATACACACACACACAGACTCACATACACACAGACTCACTCACTCACACACACAGACACACACAGACTCACTCACTCACACACACAGACACACACAGACTCACTCACTCACACACACATACAAAGACTCACATACACACACACACAGACTCACATACACACAGACTCACTCACTCACACACACAGACACACACAGACTCACTCACTCACACACACAGACACACACAGACTCACTCAGTCACACACACAGACACACACAGACTCACATACATACAGACACGTACATACACACATACACACACACGTACACACACAGACTCACTCACATACACATACATACACACATACACCCACAGACTCACATACATACAGACACACATACACACATACACACACACGTACACACACAGACTCACTCACATACACATACATACACACATACACCCACAGACTCACAAACATACACACACACGTACATACACACGTACACACACAGACTCACATACATACAGACACACATACACACATACACACATACACACACCCACAGACTCACACACTCCCACACACACCCACAGACTCACAGAGACTCACATACTCACACAGCCACCCACAGACTCACACAGACACTCAGACACCCACAGACTCACACAGAGACTCACAGACTCACTCAGACTCACACAGACTCACACAGACACCCAGACTCACACAGACACTCACAGACACTCACAGACGCACGCAGACTCACACAGACTCACACAGACACCCACAGACACCCACAGATTCACACAGACACCCACAGACTCACACAGACTCACACAGACACCCATAAACACCCACAGACTCACACAGACACCCACAAACACCCACAGACTCACACACCCACACAGACTCACACAGACACCCACAGACTCACACAGACTCACACAGACTCACACAGACACCCACAGACTCACACACACAGAGTCACACACAGACTCACACACTCCCCCCCACACACACAGAGACCCCAAAGACTCACACAGACACCCACAGACTCACACAGACACCCAGAGACTCACAGACTCACACAGACACCCACAGACACCCACAGACTCAGACAGACACCCACAGACTCACACATAGACTCACAGACTCACACAGACACCCACAGACTCACACAGACACCCAGAGACTCACAGACTCACACAGACACCCACAGACACCCACAGACTCAGACAGACACCCACATACTCACACAGAGACTCACACAGACTCACACAGACACCCACAGACTCACACAGACACCCAGAGACTCACAGACTCACACAGACACCCACAGACTCACACAGAGACCCACAGATACACACAGACACCCACAAGACTCACACAGACACCCACAGAGACCCCACAGAGACCCCACAGACTCGCGCACAGACACTCACACAGACACCCACAGACTCACAAAGACACCCACAGACTCACACAGACACCCAGAGACTCACAGACTCACACAGATACCCACAGACTCACACAGACACCCAGAGACTCACAGACTCACACAGACACCCACAGACTCACACAGACTCACACAGACACCCACAGACTCACACAGACTCACTCAGACTCACACAAACTCACCCAGACTCACACACACACCCACAGACTCACACAGACTCACACACAGACACACAGACACCCACAGACTCACAGACAACCACAGAGACCCCACAGACTCACACCCAGACCCACAAACTCACACAGACACCCACAGAGACCCACACACTCCCCCCCCACACAGACACCCATAGAGACCCCACAGACTCACACCCAGACCCACAGACTCACACAGACACCCACAGACTCACACAGACACCCACAGACTCACACAGACACTCACACAGACACCCACAGACTCACACAGACACTCACACAGACACTCACACAGACACCCACAGACTCACACAGACACCCACAGACTCACACAGACACCCACAGACCCACACACACCCACAGACTCACACAGACACCCACAGACTCACACAGACACCCACAGACTCACACAGACACCCACAGACTCACACAGACACCCACAGACTCACACAGACACCCACAAACTCACACAGACTCACACAGACACCCACAGACTCACAGACTCACACAGACTCACACAGACTCACACAGACACACCCACAGAGACCCCACAGACTCGCGCACAGAGAGGGAGAGGCCTCACCGGCCACGGCACGGCCCCCGCGAGGTGAAGTATGGTGAATCTATCCAGCAGCGGACAGAGACTGACGCTCACAGACTCACTCAGACTCACACAGACACTCACAGACTCACACAGACACACACAGACTCACAGACTCACAGACTCACACAGACACCCACAGACACACAGACACCCACAGACTCACAGACTCACACAGACACCCACAGACTCACACAGACTCACACAGACACCCACAGACTCACACAGACACTCACACAGACCCACACAGACTCACACAGACACCCACAGACTCACACAGACACCCACAGACTCACACAGAAACCCACAGACTCACAGACACCCACAGACTCACACAGACACCCACAGACACCCACAGACACCCACACACAGACTCACAGACACCCACAGACTCACACAGACACTCACACAGACCCACACAGACTCACACAGACACCCACAGACTCACACAGACACCCACAGACTCACACAGAAACCCACAGACTCACAGACACCCACAGACTCACACAGACACCCACAGACACCCACAGACACCCACACACAGACTCACAGACACCCACAGACTCACACAGACACCCACAGACTCACACAGACACCCACACAGACTCACACAGACACTCACACAGACTCACACACAGACACCCACAGACTCACACAGACACCCACAGACTCACAAAGACACCCACAGACTCACACAGACACTCACACAGACACTCACACAGACACCCACAGAGACTTCCACAGACACTCACACAGACACCCACAGACTCACACAGACACCCACAGACTCACACAGACACTCACACAGACACCCACACACAGACTCACAGACTCACGCAGACACCCACAGAGACCCCACAGACTCACACAGAGACCCCACAGACTCACACAGACACCCACACAGACACCCACAGACTCACACAGACACCCACAGACTCACAAAGACACCCACAGACTCACACAGACACTCACACAGACACTCACACAGACACCCACAGAGACTTCCACAGACACTCACACAGACACCCACAGACTCACACAGACACCCACAGACTCACACAGACACTCACACAGACACCCACACACAGACTCACAGACTCACGCAGACACCCACAGAGACCCCACAGACTCACACAGAGACCCCACAGACTCACACAGACACCCACACAGACACCCACAGACTCACACAGACACCCACAGACTCACACAGACTCACACAGACACCCACAGACTCACACAGACACTCACACAGACACCCACAGAGACTTCCACAGACACTCACACAGACACCCACAGACTCACACAGACACCCACAGACTCACACAGACACTCACACAGACACCCACAGAGACCCCACAGACTCACACAGAGACCCCACAGACTCACACAGACACCCACACAGACACCCACAGACTCACACAGACACCCACAGACTCACACAGACTCACACAGACACCCACAGACTCACACAGACACTCACACAGACACCCACAGAGACTTCCACAGACACTCACACAGACACCCACAGACTCACACAGACACCCACAGACTCACACAGACACTCACACAGACACCCACAGACTCACACAGACTCACACAGACACCCACACACAGACTCACAGACTCACGCAGACACCCACAGATACCCCACAGACTCACACAGAGACCCCACAGACTCACACAGACTCACACAGACACCCACAGACTCGCGCACAGAGAGGGGGAGGCCTCACCGGCCACGGCACGGCCCCGCGAGGTGAAGTATGGCCAATCGATCCAGCAGCGGACAGAGACTGCAGCTCAGAGCTCCACGTGAGCGAGAAACCCAAGAAACCTCGACTGCTGCCGCGCCCACGTGACGCGGCTCTCGGCCAATGAGCGCGCGGAGAACGGTGGAGGGGTGGGGCTAGTGGAGTGACCACGCTTCCCATTGCTTCGGTCACGTGACGGGCTCGACCAACTGAGTGTGATTCTGGGGGTGTGTGAGTGAGTCTGTGGGTCTCAGTGTGAGTGAGTCTGTGGGTCTGTGTGTGGGTGAGTCTGTGGGTCTGTGTGTGGGTGAGTCTGTGGGTCTCAGTGTGAGTGAGTCTGTGGGTCTCTGTGTGATTCTGGGGGTGTGTGAGTGAGTCTGTGGGTCTGTGTGTGAGTGAGTATGTGGGTCTGTGTGTGGGTGAGTCTGTGGGTCTGTGTGTGGGTGAGTCTGTGGGTCTGTGTGTGGGTGAGTCTGTGGGTCTGTGTGTGAGTGAGTCTGTGGGTCTGTGTGTGAGTGAGTCTGTGGGTCTGTGTGTGGGTGAGTCTGTGGGTCTGTGTGTGTGTGAGTCTGTGGGTCTCTGTGTGAGTCTATGGGTCTGTGTGTGAGTGAGTCTGTGGGTCTCTGTGTGAGTGAGTCTGTGGGTTTCTGTGTGAGTGAGTCTATGGGTCTCTGTGTGAGTCTGTGGGTCTGTGTGTGGGTGAGTCTGTGGGTCTCTGTGTGAGTGAGTCTATGGGTCTCTGTGTGAGTGAGTCTGTGGGTCTCTGTGTGAGTCTGTGGGTCTCTGTGTGAGTCTATGGGTCTGTGTGTGGGTGAGTCTATGGGTCTCTGTGTGAGTCTATGGGTCTGTGTGTGAGTGAGTCTGTGGGTCTCTGTGTGAGTGAGTCTGTGGGTCTCTGTGTGAGTCTGTGGGTCTCTGTGTGAGTCTATGGGTCTGTGTGTGGGTGAGTCTATGGGTCTCTGTGTGAGTGAGTCTGTGGGTCTCTGTGTGAGTGAGTCTGTGGGTCTCTGTGTGAGTGAGTCTATGGGTCTTTGTGTGAGTGAGTCTATGGGTCTCTGTGTGAGTGAGTCTATGGGTCTCTGTGTGAGTGAGTCTGTGGGTCTGTGTGTGAGTGAGTCTGTGGGTCTGTGTGTGAGTGAGTCTATGGGTCTCTGTGTGAGTGAGTCTGTGGGTCTCTGTGTGAGTGAGTCTATGGGTCTCTGTGTGAGTGAGTCTGTGGGTCTCTGTGTGAGTGAGTCTGTGGGTCTGTGTGTGAGTGAGTCTGTGGGTCTGTGTGTGAGTGAGTCTGTGGGTCTCTGTGTGAGTGAGTCTGTGGGTCTGTGTGTGAGTGAGTCTGTGGGTCTCAGTGTGAGTCTGTGGGTCTCTGTGTGAGTCTATGGGTCTGTGTGTGGGTGAGTCTGTGGGTCTCTGTGTGAGTGAGTCTGTGGGTCTCTGTGTGAGTGAGTCTGTGGGTCTCTGTGTGAGTGAGTCTATGGGTCTCTGTGTGAGTGAGTCTGTGGGTCTCTGTGTGAGTGAGTCTGTGGGTCTGTGTGTGAGTGAGTCTGTGGGTCTGTGTGTGAGTGAGTCTGTGGGTCTCTGTGTGAGTGAGTCTGTGGGTCTGTGTGTGAGTGAGTCTGTGGGTCTCAGTGTGAGTCTGTGGGTCTCTGTGTGAGTCTATGGGTCTGTGTGTGGGTGAGTCTGTGGGTCTCTGTGTGAGTGAGTCTGTGGGTCTCTGTGTGAGTGAGTCTATGGGTCTCTGTGTGAGTGAGTCTGTGGGTCTCTGTGTGAGTCTATGGGTCTCTGTGTGAGTGAGTCTGTGGGTCTTTGTGTGAGTGAGTCTGTGGGTCTCTGTGTGAGTGAGTCTATGGGTCTCTGTGTGAGTCTATGGGTCTGTGTGTGGGTGAGTCTGTGGGTCTCTGTGTGGGTGAGTCTGTGGGTCTCTGTGTGAGTCTGTGGGTCTCTGTGTGAGTGAGTCTGTGGGTCTCTGTGTGGGTGAGTCTGTGGGTCTCAGTGTGAGTCTGTGGGTCTCTGTGTGAGTCTATGGGTCTCTGTGTGGGTGAGTCTGTGGGTCTCTGTGTGAGTCTATGGGTCTCTGTGTGAGTCTGTGGGTCTCTGTGTGAGTCTGTGGGTCTCTGTGTGAGTGAGTCTGTGGGTCTCTGTGTGAGTGAGTCTGTGGGTCTCTGTGTGAGTGAGTCTGTGGGTCTCTGTGTGAGTGAGTCTGTGGGTCTCTGTGTGAGTGAGTCTGTGGGTCTGTGTGTGGGTGAGTCTGTGGGTCTCTGTGTGAGTGAGTCTATGGGTCTCTGTGTGAGTCTATGGGTCTGTGTGTGGGTGAGTCTGTGGGTCTATGTGTGGGTGAGTCTATGGGTCTCTGTGTGAGTGAGTCTATGGGTCTCTGTGTGGGTGAGTCTGTGGGTCTCTGTGTGAGTGAGTCTATGGATCTCTGTGTGAGTGAGTCTGTGGGTCTGTGTGTGAGTGAGTCTGTGGGTCTCAGTGTGAGTCTGTGGGTCTCTGTGTGAGTCTATGGGTCTGTGTGTGGGTGAGTCTGTGGGTCTCTGTGTGAGTGAGTCTGTGGGTCTCAGTGTGAGTCTGTGGGTCTTTGTGTGAGTGAGTCTATGGGTCTCTGTGTGAGGGTATGGGTCTGTGTGTGGGTGAGTCTGTGGGTCTCTGTGTGAGTGAGTCTATGGGTCTCTGTGTGGGTGAGTCTGTGGGTCTCTGTGTGGGTGAGTCTGTGGGTCTCTGTGTGGGTGAGCCTGTGGGTCTCTGTGTGGGTGAGTCTGTGGGTCTCTGTGTGAGTGAGTCTATGGGTCTCTGTGTGGGTGAGTCTGTGGGTCTCTGTGTGAGTGAGTCTGTGGGTCTCTGTGTGGGTGAGTCTGTGGGTCTCAGTGTGAGTCTGTGGGTCTCTGTGTGAGTCTATGGGTCTGTGTGTGAGTGAGTCTGTGGGTCTCTGTGTGAGTGAGTCTATGGGTCTCTGTGTGGGTGAGTCTATGGGTCTTTGTGTGAGTGAGTCTATGGGTCTCTGTGTGAGTGAGTCTGTGGGTCTGTGTGTGGGTGAGTCTGTGGGTCTCTGTGTGAGTGAGTCTGTGGGTCTCTGTGTGAGTGAGTCTATGGGTCTCTGTGTGAGTGAGTCTGTGGGTCTCTGTGTGAGTCTATGGGTCTCTGTGTGAGTGAGTCTGTGGATTTCTGTGTGGTGAGTCTGTGGGTCTCTGTGTGAGTGAGTCTGTGGGTCTCTGTGTGAGTGAGTCTGTGGGTCTCTGTGTGGGTGAGTCTGTGGGTCTCTGTGTGAGTGAGTCTGTGGGTCTCTGTGTGAGTGAGTCTGTGGGTCTCTGTGTGAGTGAGTCTATGGGTCTCTGTGTGAGTGAGCCTATGGGTCTCTGTGTGGGTGAGTCTGTGGGTCTCTGTGTGAGTGAGTCTGTGGGTCTCTGTGTGAGTGAGTCTATGGGTCTCTGTGTGAGTCTATGGGTCTGTGTGTGGGTGAGTCTGTGGGTCTCTGTGTGGGTGAGTCTGTGGGTCTCTGTGTGAGTGAGTCTGTGGGTCTCTGTGTGGGTGAGTCTGTGGGTCTCTGTGCGAGTGAGTCTATGGGTCTCTGTGTGAGTGAGTCTGTGGGTCTCTGTGTGAGTGAGTCTATGGGTCTCTGTGTGAGTGAGTCTATGGGTCTCTGTGTGAGTGAGTCTGTGGGTCTCTGTGTGAGTGAGTCTATGGGTCTCTGTGTGGGTGAGTCTGTGGGTCTCTGTGTGAGTGAGTCTGTGGGTCTCTGTGTGAGTGAGTCGGTGGGTCTCTGTGTGAGTGAGTCTATGGGTCTCTGTGTGAGTGAGTCTGTGGGTCTCTGTGTGAGTGACTCTGTGGGTTTCTGTGTGAGTGAGTCTATGGGTCTCTGTGTGAGTGAGTCTGTGGGTCTCTGTGTGAGTGAGTCTATGGGTCTCTGTGTGAGTGAGTCTGTGGGTCTCTGTGTGAGTGAGTCTGTGGGTCTCTGTGTGAGTGAGTCTGTGGGTCCCTGTGTGAGTGAGTCTATGGGTCTCTGTGGTGGTGGTGGTGATGATGGTGGTGGTGATGGTGATGATGGTGGTGGTGATGGTGGTGGTGATGATGGTGGTGATGGTGGTGGTGGTGATGATGGTGGTGATGATGGTGATGATGGTGGTGGTGGTGATGGTGGTGATGATGGTGATGATGGTGGTGGTGGTGGTGATGGTGGTGGTGGTGGTGATGGTGGTGGTGATGGTGGTGGTGATGATGGTGGTGGTGATGATGATGGTGGTGGTGATGATGGTGGTGGTAGTGATGATGATGGTGGTGGTGGTGGTGGTGATGATGGTGGTGATGGTGGTGGTAATGGTGATGATGGTGGTGGTGATGGTGATGATGGTGGTGGTGGTGGTGATGATGGTGATGATGGTGGTGGTGATGGTGGTAGTGATTATGGTGGTGGTTGTGGTGGTGGTGGTGGTCTCATTGTATATCTGTGGGACTCTCTCTATCTTTATGGATCTCTATGTAATCTATGTGTCTCTGTAGGTCTCTACGGATCTTTGTGGGTCTCTGTGGGTCTCTATGTATCTCTGTGGGTCTCTATGGATCTTTGTGGGTCTCTGTGTAATCTAGGTGTTTCTGTGGGTCTCTATGGATCTTTGTGGGTCTCTGTGGGTCTCTATGTATCTCTGTGGGTCTCTATGGATCTTTGTGGGTCTCTGTGTAATCTAGGTGTTTCTGTGGGTCTCTATGGATCTTTATGTGTCTCTGTGGATCTCTGTGTATCTCTGTGGGTCTCTATCGATCTCTATGTATCGCTGTGGGTCTCAATGTCTCTCTGTGGGTCTCTATCGATCTCCGTGGGTCTCTATCGATCTTTATGGATCTCTATGTAATCTAGGTGTCTCTGTGGGTCTCTTTGGATCTTTGTGGGTCTCTGTGGATCTCCATGTATCTCTGTGGGTCTCTATGGGTCTCTGTGGGTCTCTATGTGTCTCTGTGGGTCAGTGAATCCATGGCTGTGTGGTTGGGGTTATGGGAGTGGGGGCTACAACGAAGCACAGAGGAGCGACGCTCACAACAACGAGCGGAGCGCCGGGTGGATAAAACACAGCGAGTTGGCACAGTAGGGG